TGTGAGTGCGGGGGGTGGGGGTGAGTGGGGGGGGGCGACAACTCAGCCCTGGCGGTGGTCCAGTTGGCTGAGTGCTGTCCCATGCACCAGGCGGTCCCCGGAGAGGTCGCCGGTGTTTTTCTCTCCCTTCCTCTCAATCTAAAATCAATAAAAGCATATTAAACAAGCAAACGAAAATTTAACTAGAGGAAGAATTAGAGTCCCACCAATGAAAGGTTGTATCATTTTCTAGTTTTTCAAAAGCGCTGTATAGAGAAAACAAGAAAATGATACCACATTATAGCTTGAAAACAACTATTAGCCTGCAGGAAAGGCCACCGTCATGGTTTCATGTGAACTTGAAGACTTCTAGCTGCTTATTACTCGGTCCCCGATAGAGGGGAGAGCACTCTAGATAGTGGTCTCATTGGACAATTTCTATTGTAATTAATTTTTAGACACACTGGCCCTACACTGATTGGAATATGTCTATTTGAGTTTAAAGGAGATTAAGTGTAGATGAAATATTCACAATTTTCGAACTTCTCTACATTTTGCATCAAAAAGCATTTTGTTATTAAGATCCAACCCTTTTGAAGTTTACCTTTATGTGTAGCATAAAGTGTATTGTGAGTGCTTTATAATATGTGAGCAATAATCATATTTTGCCATGTATGTATGATTTTATGGCAATTTTACTATGTCATTTTATATTTTCTTGCAGGTTTTCAGTCTTTGAAATATATCATACCATGTGAATCATCCTATACAGTTGTTATAAAAAATTGCTCCTGTTGTGGATTTTTTTCTTGGTGTAGTTTTCTGGAAAAACATAAATTTTTGAAATGATTAGGAAACTAAGTTTTAAGAAGCATAATTGAAGATTTTATTTCCCTCATCATATAAGGATAATCTTCACAGTCCCTTTGGTACTAAAGATTTTCAAATAGTTTCACTTCAGTTAAGAAGTTTGTCCCTAGAATATATTCAGAGATTATTAAAATTATAATAAGCCTTCAGAGAGATGTAGAAAGTACATGATAGCTTCATATTTGTAGTAATGTTAGAAAATTAACTAGTAATTTAACTAGTATAGACCAGTATGCCTCAAAAAGTGTGAACATATATATATAAACTTTTTAAAAGTCAGATTTATTGAGAGATAATTTACATACAGTAAAAGTTATATATCTATGTTTGAATAATTCTTTTTTATTGAGACAAGTATAATGGTATCCACTGTAAGGAAAGTAAGCATTTGAAAATCCAATCTGGAAAATATTTAAATAGGAGTAGCTTCATAGAAGAATTCATAATATAATTACATTTTGTGCTCCCCCAATATATTTCACAATAATTCAGTTATAAAACTTTACTCATAGCTCTGGCCGGTTTGACTCAGTGGTTAGAGCATCAGCCCACGGACTAAAGGGTAGTAGATTCAACTCCAGTCAAGGGCACGTACCTTGTACCTTGGTTGTGGGTTCGATCCCTGGCCCCAGATGGGGCCCGTAGGGGAGGCAACCAATCAAGGTGTCTCTCTCACATCAATGTTTCTCTCTCTCTGTCTTTCCCCCTCCCTTCCACTCTCTCTAAAAAATCAATGGAAAAAATATCCTTGGGTGAAGATTAACAACAACACAAAAATTTTACTCATAAAATTTCAGAAACAAATCTATAGCATACAGTTTTTTATATATGTATTATAAAACATTCGAACATTTATAGTAACAATCTTGGATGGACTTAAAGAATATTTTTCAATTAAACAATCAGATTTTTGTATTTTATTTTTTGTTAATCCTCACTTGAGGTTATTTTTTCCATTGATTTTTAGAGAGAGTGGAAGGAAGGGGGCGCTGGAGAGAGGGGGAAAGAGAGAGAAAGAGAGAGAGAAACATTGATGTGTCTCTCTCACATCGATCTGTTGCCTCTCACACTCACCCCGACCAGGGCCAGGCATCGAACCTGCAACCCAGGTATGTGCCCTTAACCGGAAATTGAACTGGAGACCCTTCAGTGTGCAGGTCGACACTCTGACCACTGAACCACACCATCCAGAGCTAAACAATCAGATATTTACAATGTGCAAAGTACTATTTTTCTAGAAGGAAATATGAAGCTGTATAAGATATAGATTTTGACCTCCTTGAACTCGCAGCCTGGTGAGAATAGAAATACACATAAGGAAGTCTAATGTAAGGCAGCCTGAGATCCAAGTCTGCACCAGAAGACTAGAGAGAGCAGTTTCAACCTGGAGTTTCTGAGAGCCCTTTTGGAGTAACTGACATCTGGGCTTTGAATAAGAAGCCTTGGCCTTATAAACTTGTAAGAAAACGACACCTTAGACAGTAAACTATAGTAATTGCAAAATAGTAGAAAAAGGAAGGAAAATAATGTGAATGTTTATTGCATATGGGAAAGAAACAATGGGAAATAAAGCCAAAAAAAGAGAAGTGGAGCAGAAGCTTATAAATACTAAGGCGGGGGGGGG